GCCAAGCAAGATAAGTGGCCCAAGGAAGCAGGTTCCCCCTTGGTCCAGCAAGATGGAGATGAGTCCCAGGGCAAAGAGCTGTGCACTACTTCCTGATGGGGACTTTCCCTTAAAAATGATGGGACTAGACAATACGTTAGAAATTTACGTTTCTGATTACTATATTTCAATTATTTCTGCCCCTCCATTACCAGAGAAACTTGAACATGGCATCAGACCTCTTGGAAAGCCAATGTCATCCATCATCCAGGAGCATCTGTACGCTCGGTGCCAGGCTGCGTGCTGGGAGTCATGCACAACTCCCATAACACCGGCCATAACAGGAGCACTTCCTGTGTGCCTGTGGGCATTACCTCATGTAATCCACAAATGGCTCTATGGAGTGGAGAACTAACCAGGAAATTGAGGCATAGAGGACTTAATTAACTTGACCATGAAAGTGCCCTGTTACTGGCCCAGCGAGAATTCAAACCTGGGCAGTCTAACTGCAGAGCCCACACATTGACCCTTCAGCAATACTGCTCCCCCAAGTTCAGGGAGTTTACTGAGTATTTGGAGAGATGACACAAAAACACAAACAATTAGTGTATACAAATGCCAAAGAACTCAGATGGAACATGTGGAACTGGTTTGGGCCACACAATCTCCATCACAACTCTGCCCCCGTACCTGGAAACCAGCCATGGTCAATACATAATGAATGGGCCATGGCCATGTGCCAATGAAACTTTATTTACTAATAAATGGCATGCTGGAGTTAGTCTGTGAGCTACAGTTTGCTGACCCTTATGTAGATGATCTATGCCACAGATTTCATAGTGGAGATCAGTGTAGACGGGAGCAGTTGGTGGGAGCTTTGGGAATTAAGCCTTGAAGAGAAGTTTAGGGTGGGCTTCGGAGGACCTGTGAGACCTGCCCTGCCCCTTCTTGCTCCCTGGGCTCTGGCCAGCTGGCCTATGTTTCCTAGGCTTTGATTACACCAAGCTTATTCCTCCTCTAGAGGTTTCTCCCCGGCTGATCCCTCTGCCTGGAACTCCTTCCCTGAGCTCTCCTCGAGGCATTTATGGTTTCAGAAATTACCTTGTTCATGATTGTGTACTTGTCTGTTATCTGTCTCTTCCTGTTCTCCTTATAGAATGTAAGCTCAATAACATGGGATCAACATCTGTACTGTTCACTGCTGTATATTCCTGGCACGCAGACAATGGCCAGAACATAAAGAGGCAAAAAATACTTGCAAGGGCAAATGAAAAGGGGGAGAGAGGCAAAGGAGAGAAAGGGAGGGAGACTTAGGAAATGTAAGCATGCCTCATTATATTGTGCTTAATTTTTCTTTTCTCTGTGACTGAATAGACTGTTGTCGTCATTTGAATGGCTATCATTCAGTGCCCATGACTCTATTTCAGTTAATAAAACATCCTCATCCTGTAATAAGAGAATGATAGCACTAATTGTGGCCATTCCTTGGTCAGAGGTATGTCTTCTGTACTTCTGAATGATGACATGTGGTTTAAGTTATAGACTGGCTATAATCGAAATAGAAAAATCCATACTAATCTTCATTTCATTTTATAAAAAAATAAAGCTCTCCATTAGTATTTTAATACTTAAACATATACATTAAAAAGCTAATGATCCTCTCTTTCTCTAACCCATAACTATTGTTAAACTTAGCCTTTATTACATATATGTTATTAGTGGGTTTTGTTGGATCCAACCACCTCCTAAACTGGGGCAGACAAGCAGAACAACTGACCAGGCTGCTTTTCTATCTGCTCCAGCTTCCTTCTCTTACCGACTTTCATTTCTTTAAACTGCTAGGACTAGTAATAATAAAGACTTTCACAGACAGTTGCAAGGTTAGATTTTTTTTATTTCCCTAAATCATTTTTCCCTGTGCAACTGAAGCAGGAAGACATAGCAACCTTTGAATAGATCACAATAGTAGCTGTAACTATGAGTTTCCTTTCTTTTCAATCAAAAGGGGATAATATTTCATGCTCTACACACCTTACAAATTTGTATGCTTTCTTTGAAAACTATGTACCCAACCATTGTCTTCCCTTTTACTCTAGAATGTAAGAGACTCGGAATAAAAACTATGGTGCAATTATAACAATTTTGCTGGCCCTTAAACTTCAGCAACAGTATTTTTCTTCTCCAAGGTCTTGATTTTCGTTTTTTGTGGGGGTTTTTTTACATTTTTCCTAGAACTGATTTCTGCATTTTTATAGGTAATCTTGTTCTAGGCTATCTTTAGGTGTATAAATAACATATTAATTTTTAAATTCCATTCCAATGTAAGTCACTTACATACAACTTTTTAGCTGCAGTCATTTGAAAATGATGTTTAATTGAAAGATATACAGATTAAATACTACCCAGCTGATTCCCTTCTTAATAATCACAGCCTGTTTCTAGGCCAAGTCTAAGTTTCGGCCATAAACTGATTTTGGAGAAAACACCTAATCAGAAATTTTCCATGTTTTGTTTCATAAGTGATGTAAGCTAATATGTCATTAGTCTCTGACAAACTGGCCATCAGTACTGAGAAATGGCAATGTCGTGGGCACATCTATGACCCTCAGCTGTACTAACTTAATTATTAAATTTAACTACTAAGTCAACAATGAGGTTCTGAACATGATCATATCTTTGCAGTGAGTCATCTGCCAATTGAAGGGAAAAACAAGACTGTTCTCGGCATTTATAATTTCCCTAAGAAATGTCCCCTGTTGCTATAGTGACACTGATGCTTTTTAGCTAAAAAAGTAAAAACTCTACACTGTTACTACCATAAGTGATAAATGGCAAATGCATCAGAGGTGATGGATTACAAAGGTGCCCTGGGACCATAAGTGTTCGGTTCCCTAAGAACTACTGATCGTAGCCTAGAGAGACAGCATCAAACAGTGATCACGTGCAAGGCCCCGGAGCTGTGAGCTGGAACCCTGCCCTTCGTGGCCGGGACTTTGAGTCAGTTACATAACCTCAGTTTCGTCATTTGTAAAATGGGGATAATAGTAATCCTACCCTTCAGCTGTGTGGATCCAATGGGTGAACATTCATAAAACATTTAGAACAGTGGCTGCATATGGAAACATGATTTAAGAATTTGTTTAATAAAATAAGCTGCACAGTGAAACTTAATCATACTCTTTTTTGTACTTTTCAGGATTAGAACTTATAAACAACTGTTTTCAGATCCATGAATAGTAGTAACTCTTTAATCTGATGTTTCTAGACATTAGCTTTCAAATTATATGGTCAAATTCATAACTTAAGGGAGAAAGAAGTGGAACATCTATTCTCACTTCTTAGAACCTGTATAACATTTAGAAATGTGTAATACCTGTATGTATCATATGTTGGGAGTAAGTAAATTCTGATCTGTTGTGTTAAACAAAATGCTTTAGAGCCCAGTGCTGCCATTTAGTAGCTATATGTTCTTTGGCAAATTTCTTAAGCTATCTGAGCTCCTGCTTCTCATCCGAGAAATGCTGAAAAAGGCACAGAGTTGTTGTATTAATGAAATAAGACCCTATAAACAATGCTTAGCATAGTTAAATGTTAGTAATGAAACACTGTATTATCTAATGGATAATCAGTAAATGTTTAGCATCAAAATATTAAATACCTTTTTAACTTTGCATTGCAAATTGGGCCAGTTTCCATTTATGGCACCATACCTTAAACTTGTTAACATGTTGATTTGGAACGGTTCTCAAATTTATTTATGCTTTGTCTTCTCATCTCTGCTGTAAACATGTTGAGGGCAAGAACCAGACTCCCTTTCTTTTTAAATTAAGCCCTGTGCACTGTAGGCTGTTACTTCTTAATGTGTATAAAGAGTGGTAATTATTCATGTCTTTTACCAAGTGGAGGAAGAATGAGAACCTAAGTTGAGTCCATGTTGAAGTGGAAAATCTAAGAGCAAGCGAAGAAAAGTCATAAAAAAGCTCTCTATATTGTAGTGTAGTGCTCTGCTGAACTCAGAGGGAATGGCTGTGGAATGTGCTGAGAACATTATCTTGTGTGGTACCCACAATTAGGGACTAGAATAGGATCCAGCAAAGCAAGAGGAAAAGAATAATTCAGATAAGTACAGTAATAGCTATCCCAGGTGAGTAGAGAAACTCTTTAAGACAGTGGTTCTCAACCTTCTGGCCCTTTAAATACAGTTCCTCATGTTGTGACCCAACCATAAAATTTTTTTCGTTGCTACTTCATAACTGTAATGTTGCTACTGTTATGAATTGTAATGTAAATATCTGATATGCAGGATGGTCTTAGGCGACCCCTGTGAAAGGGTCGTTCGACCGCCAAAGGGGTCGCGACCCACAGGTTGAGAACCACTGCTTTAAGAGGTGGTGGTGGTGGTGGTGGTGGTGGTGGTGGTGGTAGTGTGTGTGTGTGTGTGTGTGTGTGTGTGTGTGTAGAGCAAGAATAATTTAAAATAAGAAAATGCCACTAGCTTTCATGAGGAGGTCATTGGTAATCTTTAATTTGGAGGCTGAATCCAAATTAAGAGGGTTCGGAAAGAACAGGTGATTGGGAAGTCAGTGCAGCTGGTATAGACCACTGGTTGAGGAAGAAGAACGGATATGAGATAGTAGAGTTGAAGGGTTCAAGGAAGATGTCAAAAAAAACCTTTTTTAAATTTTAAATGTCAGTTGAAAACAAATAATTGAAAAACTCTAATAAAACCGATCTCCTTTCCAATGGTATTCTTATGCCTGACTCAATTATTCTCAACATGAAAACTGAGAGGTATAAGTAAATCTGAGCCAATGATTTTCGTTTTTCCTAATACACAAGTTGTTTTAAAGATTCAGACATGGATTTCCATGTATTCAAATTATTTTCAAACCAGTTATAGTAAAATACCATTATTGAAAAGTTAACATCTGAAGTTTTTGGGTCAGAGCCCCCAAAAAAGGAAAGAAAAGAAAAATGTAGGGTTTTATAAGAAATGAATCATCTCTTTTATATCTGACTAGGTTCCTCAAGATGAATGGACAGGGTATACCCCTCGAGGTAAAGACGATGAAATTCCATGCCGAAGAATGCGGAGTGGCAGCTATATCAAAGCCATGGGAGATGAAGACAGTGGTGACTCGGACACAAGTCCCAAGCCGTCTCCCAAAGTTGCTGCACGAAGAGAAAGCTATCTCAAGGCTACTCAGCCATCCCTTACAGAACTCACCACACTCAAGTAAGTGTTTCTAACACTATACGTCTGGTAGTCCAGCTCCTTCTAATATTATTACCTAGGATCAGATTGTGTGATGCCTAGAATAAATGGGACAGAAAACATTCTATCCATGGAGCAATGTGATACATTGACTGGTCTATTGATTTTGACATTGGGTTTGACTTGCTTTCAAAGACAAGGGCATCCAGGTGTACTATGCATGGACATAAGCTGAATCCCCAATCTCCAAGATGAAGAGTTTGAAATAATTCAGACTGGCTTCTGAAAGAAATTAAGATTTCTGGTTAATGAGAAGATCCATGTACCCCAACTCTTGGACATTTGTTTAACCACTAAATCTATGAGGAATCTCTTCCTTACAAGACCCTTCAACTTTTCAGATAATTGAGTAATATAATAGATCAGATTATATTGGAGAAGCTTCTAGAATGTGGTCATGTTTTAAAATTGGGTGATATGTGAAGGTTCTTGATATACATTTTTAAATTTGGTCACTCAATAGATTTTGTAAGACCTTAAAATGTTTTTTTGTTTTGAAAAATATGATATAAGTAATATTTACCTCCACATGTGCCCTTTGTAAACAGAGAAGAGCTTTACAAAATAAACTACTGAAATTGAAATTTTAATTTTTAATTTGATTTACAGAAGTAAACCCAAACCTGGAACACAGCATCATGTAGCTCATCATTTGGACCTAAATAATATATTACGGATAATTTGTGTTTCTTAAGTGCCTTTGATTACATGTTTTGAGGAAATACATACTGCTATTCGTGCATTTATATACACTACAAAATAAGATATTAAAAGACATAATAAATAAAACATAAATTTTCCCAAAGGAAAATAAACTAGATTATGACCTAGGACATTGAAAAGCAACCAACCATTCTATGGTGGAAATTTATTTAAATAGCATGTTACATTATATTTTAAGGAAGTGGACAGGGAGAGTTCCCTCATCAATATTTTTTCAATGGAGCATGTGAAACCACTATGGATCATTTCAATAAAAAAAACTTAGAACCAATGACATGAGTAAACCATCCCAAGAAAGGAAGCTCTTCTTCCTTTCCTTTGGCTTCCAGTTGCCCTCCTCTTTGCCTTTATTTCTGCATGTATTCATTTCCCGGGCGTGCCATACTATGACCTTGAAACTATAAGAGTTTATTATCTCACAGTTCTGAAAACTAGAAGTTTGGAGTCAAGGTGTCAGCATAGCCTCACTCCTAAAACTTGTAGAGGACAATCTTTCCTGGCCTCTTCCAGGCTTCTGTTCTTCACCTGTTACCCTTGGCATTCCTTGGCTTGTAGCTGCAGCACTTTGTTCTCTGCCTCTGTCACCATGTGGCTGTCTTCTTATGACACCGGTGACATTGGGTTCAGACCCTCCCTAGTGACCTTATCTTAACTTGATTAAACTGCAAAGACCATATTTCCAAGTAAGGTCACATTCACAGGTATTGGGAGTTAGGGCTTGGACATATCTATGTGGGGAACACAGTTCACCCCATAACAAATACTGCCACATGAGATAAAAATTGATTATGGAAATGAAAACCAGAAACAGGTATTTATTGTACTCTGGCACAGCTCACAGAAGCTCATAAAATTAAATATACTCAGTGTGAAAAGAACTGGATATGTAATAAAGGCAGTGGTCCAAGGTGGTGTGAAATGGGGGAGCTAAGGACCCTTCTGGCAAACATTTTCTATGGACTTTAAAGTATCTCTCCACTAGAGATAATAATAGATAGTCATAGTCATGGCATTGACATCTTCCAAAAGATGCAAAAGAAGGAAAGCTTTGGGCAAGAAAGTCACTTGGACCTTCAAGATATCAGTTTCCTAATATGAAAACCAAGTTGTGGGAGTCTCCAACCTCCAGAGACCCATCCACCTCCTTAGTATCCCATTAGTTTACGTATAGGGATGCATTTGTCACATCAGCTGAATGACACTATACATCTTGGGTGATGAAATACAGTGATTGCTTCTATTCACAGTGGTACCGAGGCATGAGGAGAACAGAAAGAAGTAGAGCCATAAGGAACGTGAGGAGAGTGCTTGGAGGAGGCCAGGGACAGGGGTATGTGCAGAAATCAAGTTCACAATTATATCTTGTAGCTACTCTCCTCAGAGCTTGGGAGCTGTGAGAAATCAGCTCCCAAGCCATTGGAAGTTTTTCTTTTTCATTTTGTCTTCTACATAATAGCTCTTTTTAATGCAACTAGCATATATTTATTTCACTGCTCACAAGCTTTAAGAGCAAAAAGAAACCACTACACCGACAGTGGCTAAGCTGATGGTAGAGAGGGTCAGCACTTCAGACAGTGAAGTTAGTCATTGAGCAGAATCAGTGACTTCTACTTTCTTCCTCTAAACCTGTAGAAACTCAAAACAATAGCCATTTTACTAGGGGGCACCTCTTAAATGGAAATACCTTTTCTTGATTGCCTATTCGTTAGCAGGCAAGACAGCATCTGACCATTCTAATATGTCTTTCATTTCTATGCTACCCTCCCATTGCCCAGACTTATTTCTCCTAGTTATATTTATCTCCACCCATTTCTTCCTCACCTGCTTTAGGAGTTCCATCTCTCATTACAGTCTGCATATTAAGCTTCCATCATACTCAAATACATATGATTACTAGTGATTTCTAGTTTAATAGGATTTATAGAGATACAGAAGAAGAAAAGGGAAATACACTCTGAGGGCAAAAATTGGGATATGACATCACTCATAATTAATGCTGTCTTTTATTCCTTGATGATGTTTTGACTGGAGATAATTACTTTTCTAGAAGTTTGAAGCATTTAGTTCCTCATAAGAAAAAAAGATCCCCATATTCTGGAATTCTAGTTCTCCAAAAAAGAAACTATATTTTTGTTCCTACTGCTCTGACATTTAAGTCAATTTTTCCTCCTTCCTCCTCAGCAATTCACAGCTTTAGGGATGATTCATAGCCATGAACCAAGATAACTAAAATTAGCCAAGTGAGATTGGGGCAACATTTTGTTTGAGGTTTTCAACTCCCATCTCCTCAGAAATGTTGGAGAGAAGGTACTCCTACACTCTCTTACATTGTTTTTCTCTTTTCTTTTTCCTTTGCTATTTTCCAAAGGCATCTTGAGGGTTTACTTATGAGGATGGTTTTCATCAGCTACTTAATGTTGTTGCATTTTTAGATACATAAGGCCAAAGGTCAGCTGAACATTCTAGAGTCAGAGGCAGCCTTGAGGCAGTGAACTCCATCTCTGGGCTGTAAAACTCCCGTAGCTACTCTCCGAGGACCATTATTTCTTTCACTCCCTTCTCTTCTTCCACAGCCGCAATAAACCCCTTCCCCTCACCACTAGCCTTCCTTTTCCGTTATTAGCTAACAATAAACCTAAATGACATATCATCCAAGAATATTATTATTTTCAAAAATACCTTCTGAATGTTTAATAGTCAATTCTCAGGCAAGTAAGGGAGAGATTTGGGGGCCAGAGTTCCAGCTTGGCTCTGTTAAAGGACTGAACTCTTTTCCTTAAATTTGTTATGATATGCCATTTATTCTAAAATTAAAACTACTGCCTGCTGTCATGATTAGTTAAAACCATGTCCAAATCTTATCTAGGATAAGATTTTTGTGGGGTTTTTTTTAATATATTGTGAAAAGGAAGAATTTTTTAAAATGACATTTGTGAGCTGTCATTTAAAAGATTCTAAAGCTAAAGTTAAATGTCCATTAATCCAAGGCAAATAACACCTTAAAATCTCTTCCTTCTTCTTTATCCCTTCATCCAAGCATGAAGGAAACTTACCTCCCGGGAGAAACAGTCTCTGACACACAGACTTGCAAACGCCTCTGAAATTGGCGAGAAGGCCCCCAGGCTTCTGTGCCTGTTTGGCTCTGGAGAGGACCAAGCAGGGTGCCTAACAATTTTGACAAAGTGTCTAACAAAAGGCTTCAGGAAGGTTTATTTTCAATCCAAAAATGCCTTGGAGGCAGATAGTTTTTCATTTTCAGAATCGTTAATTCTCTTATTCTCTCCCTGATACGACACTTTTAAAAAAATAATAAGTTAGTGAGATACTAAATAGCTCTGTGGCTTTTGGCAACTGGATTAATGTCTCTGTGCTCCCCGACCCCAATTAAATGAGAGGCTTGGGCTGTAAGTGTGGACAGCACCACCTAGAAGGCTCCCATCACAACTCTCCCAACCAGGTCAGGGACAGACAGCAGTAGCCAATCTCAGCACCCTGCCCACTGAGCAGCTTCCCACTGGGGCTCAGAACTCCTCCCAACGCAGTGCTACAGCCACGGCTTCTCATTGGCCAGCGACTCCCCGGGTGCTATCCCTTGTCTACATGGTCTCTGAGGCATCTAAAAGCACTGATGTGGACCATTGTAAAGAGGAGGCACAGAAGAAATAGTTTACTATTTGAAGACAAAAGGAAGTGGTGTTGATAAATGACAAAATTTGAGAAGAGATACACAGGATGTTCTACTTCGCCTTTAATTCTGGAGATTTAAAATGAGTCAGTTCTATAGCAAGAACCCAAACTGTAGGGTCCCTTTTTTTGGTTAGCTTTCTAAGTTTATTTCTTCCCTTTTTCTCTCTAGACGCACTGTGTCCTCTGCCGGTTCCTCACATTCCACATGCCCCTTCTACCCACCTAGGGCTCCCCATGTTCTTTCTCTTCCCAGAAAAAGGATGGGGGAGGGGAGGGAGGTGATGTTATCTGAGTTCCCCATATTTAAGAACATAGCAATGTGTATCAGTCCACCGTTCTCCTTAGTGTATGAAATGTCTCTGTTTTTCTTAGTTCTCCACTTTCCCCAAATGTTTTGCCATTCCTCTCTACCTGTTCCTCAGTATAACTGTAACATACAATAGCAAATGCTCCTTACAGTGGGCAGAAGAACAAAATAACACAGTCCGACACTACAAAATTATGCATTTACATCTGCAGAGATAGAAACTTGGGACAATTTCCCATCCTTC